GGTTTTTCAAAGTCGTAATAAGTCATTAAAACAGTATAAAACCACAAGTTTGAAAAAGAAAAAGCTATTTTTTTCTTGAAAAAAATAAAAAAATTGCCGCTGCGAGGATTGAACTCGCGATATCAAAACTGTATGCAAGCGCACTTGCGCTGCTCCACACACATCTCTCGGAGATGGGAGGCGTTCGCGCTATACACCACTTCACCTCAAAGTACAGCATTTACCGACAATCTTGTTTAAAAAAAAGTTATGGTAGTTGAACAATTATTAGTCACGTGTGTTCGGACCACCTGAAAATAATTTATTCATAGAGATTCAGTTCAAAATGCTTCCGTTTTCGGTGTTTTTTCTTATTTTAACGTTGGCTTCAAACTAACACTGATTAAACTTTTTAGGCACCGCTAAAATTTTTTTATTTTATTTTTTTAATTGATTGAAAAATTGAGATACGCTAATATTTAAGAAATAAAAAAAGGCGCCAACGACATCTGACCATGTTAAAATGAATTTCGAAATTTTGACTGTCTATTTTTTTCTCAGAAAAACAAAGTTTTTCGGAATAAGTTTTATATTAATAAAATTTTTAGTTACAATTTAATCCACAAGTTAAAAATAAAAAAATTTTTTTACTTACACGCTCTCGAAACCGAGTACAACATTTTCAACTTTGCGCGGCCTCACGAAGATTAGGCACCGTAAAAAAATTTAATTTTTTTGTTTTTAAAAGATTCGTTTTTTTCACTTAAGAATCGAATTCGAAAAATAAAAAAAGGCGCCAACGACATGGAACTAGGTTAAAAACCCGAAGAAAAAAAGTAGTTTTTTTGTTTTTTTGTACGACACTCCGCTAAAACGCTTCGAAAAATCGGGTGAAAAAGTATATCAGATTGAAGAGGAAGGTTTTCTCTATGTTTCCACCAAATTTCTCTGTGTTTGATTCAGTATTGCGCTTTTACGAAAAACATCAAACACAAAAATCTAAAAACCAGTGCATTTCACCATCGCAAAAAGGGGCGTGGCTCTGCGGTCTCTAGTTTGAGGGTCTTACTTTGTTCTGAACGTTATCCAGATAATTTGGCTTTTCAATTTCAATTTTTTAGAAGAAACTGTAACGATTTTGATTTGACAAGCTCAAATAATCGTCTTAATACTCACTTTTAAAATGCGATTCATTTGAATGTATTATTTTCTGGGAAGTTTACAAGTATCTTAAGAGATTTATGAGAATTCCAATCTTCCAATTCTCGGACTAGATAGAATCATGATTTAATGGGAAACAATTAGAAATATGCAGATCTATAATCATGGGATGGGAACGAATGTTTTCACTTTATTTTTGAGTTTCTGAAGTTTTCCTTCGTTTATTTTCATTTTTAGATTTTCTGTAGAAAGTGGCTTTTTTTAAGGAACGTCCAAGAAAACCCTAAAGTTTAGAAAGTTGCAATGAAGCTTCAATTCTCGCTGGAATCTTCTTAGCGAGTTCCGAAAATCTAATAAACGGCTCTGTTTTTTGAACCTTCTAACGAATTTCTAAAAAAATTTAAAACTTTGAGATTTTCTGAAGAGCCTAAATCTTTTGAAAAAAAAAGTTGCAGTCACATGAGATCGTTAAATTAGCTTCATAAGAAGTGAAGTGACGTAGCCAACATTGTTTTTCGAACTCGAATAAACTCCGCCATGCTTCTGAGAATGACATTCACGCGCAAAACAACATTTACCCCCAGGGATGATCATTGTCATCATTAAATTCAAACTCATCCAAGTGTGTGAGCTCTTTCTTTTTTTCTGAGTATGTCAGCCAGTTGTGTGGGCCCAACCCATTTCTATTCCATTTTCTAATTTGGACCTCGGCGGTGAGCATTGTGAGTTGTGACGGCGGCGGAGGCCGACCTAACGACTAACGAAGTGCCGCCGCTGCTGATATCGAAGGGGGACAGGTGCATTTCGTTATAACGAGCTGCATTTCCGTCCGTTCTCACACCCAAACCTGAAGCTCGCAAGTCGTTTGTTTTTGAGTTTTTTTTTCAAGCTTGGCCCTTCTTTCTCGGCTTAAGGGTACAGTAAAGGATCCATTGCAGGGCGGTTCTCCCTTACGTGAATTAGATAATGGCAGGAGAAATGAAGTTCGTTATAACGACCTTGTTTCCGTCTGTTTCGTACACCTAAACTTGAAGCTCGCAACATTTTTTCTTGGCCTTTCTTTCTCAGCTCAAAGAGCACAGTAAAGGGCCTTTTATAGAGCCGAAGTCTTTATCTTAAATTAGAGGCTGCCCTCCTGAAAAAGTTTGAAAAAAAGAAGATCGTTATCATTTTTCTGAGAGACCATTTCAACTCCGTTCGTTGAGTCCCCTCGAGGTCCTGCAAGAATTTTCAGTAATACCTAAATAGGTTCCTCAAGTGGCTACTAAAATGGATTATAACGAGCTGCGTTTCAGTCCGTTCCGTTCTCACACCCGAACCTGAATATCGCAAGCTTTTTTCCATTTTGAGCTTTTTTCTGCTGAAGATTACAGTGAAGGTTCCACTGGAAAGAGGGTTTTATTTTTTTGATTTAGATAATACTCTCCACGGAGATATCTGAAGCTTTTGCGAAAATTTTTAGTAGTTCCTCTAGAGATCCCTCAAGTGGCTATTAAAAAGATTCCGTTATAACAAGCTGCATTTCCCGTCTGTTCTCACACGCAAGCCTGAAGCTCGCAAGTCTCTTGTTTTCCGCTTTTTCCAGCTTATTCATCTTTTTTCTAGACTGTCTTCACAAGTGGCTAAGGTTTCTGGAAAATGATGAAAGCAGGAGTGGACCCTAGAATGTTCAAGGAGGCGTGAAATGAAGAATCTCTCAAGAGATCACTTTGGCAGAAACTCTGAAGAAATTTGCTGCTTCGAACTTGACGAACTTTTAAAAAAGTTGAGAAAAAATAATTCGTGAATTATTATTTAGTCAAAACTTGACCAAATTTGAATCCAAAAAAGTCTTTCGCAGAACAAATTTTTTCAGAGAAAGTTATCAATCCTTCTGATTTACTCTCATGTTTTTTCCTGCGTCACAACACACACCGTTCATTTCCTCCCTTGCCCGCACGTTTTTTTCTCCTTTATAAGGAAATCGACTCTCATTTTCCTCTGAGGTTTTGTTGGAAATTTGAAAAAATGGAATCAGAAAAATAAAGAAAAAAATGTCTTCTATGCGGCAGGTGTTATTGTTAGGATTGAATTGCAAATGAAAATGTCCTGAAAATTTCTCTTCTTTCCAAAAAGTATTTTATTCAGTTTTTTTTTAAGTTGATACAATCATTTTTCTTATTAAGTCGTGGGAAAATGATCAAGATTGAAGGTGGTTTCTTGATAAGCTTAAAAATGGCTTCTCCTTTGTGGCTGTTGAAATTTTCTTTCAATAAGGATTAGTTTTCGTTGGAAAAAGGCCTTTTTTTCTTGTTTCAGTTTTAGAAAATGAAAAAGGTTCGAATTTGAAAATTTTTCTGACATCTCAAGCTTGAAATAGCTAATTTTAGAAGCTATAATTTGTAGGAATATTCAAAAACTTGAAAAGTTGAAAAAATCGCTTTTCTAGGCTGTTTTGCACTTGAAAGCTTTTTCTTTTTAGAAATCTTAGAAAGTAAAAAAAGTTTCCATTTCTTCATTCTCAAGGAGCAGGTGTTTTTCTACTTGAAATTCGTTAGCCGTGGCCTTTTTTACAAAACTTCTTTTGCTTTTTTCAAGCTTATATATCTTCAAAATGTCCATCATCCAACAGAACTTTCGCTTTTTTCTTGACTTTTTTTTTGAACAAAGCGTCTTCGTTCACCTTCTGCACACCTTCGAGGAAGACAGAACAAAAGAAAAAAGTGAGAAGAAATTCAAATCTGCAATGTTCGTACAATATCAATGTTTGCACGCCCTGGGAGAACGACTCTGATTGGAAGGCCCGTCGGAACGTTCTCACGGAAAATTGCCGTCGTTTCTCATGCACAGCGAATGGAATAATCTCCTGACGATTTCTGATGGTTTATGTTACCGCCTTCTTCGTCTTTCCTCAACTTTCATTTCTCCTTTTTTCACCAAGTTTCTTGGTACTTCTCCGAAAAGTCGTCAGGATCCCAAGACTATTGTCTGATCTTCCATGTCAGCGTACTTGTTAGAAAAAAGAGGCGAATTTATGTTATTAAATCAGGTGAAAATGTGCTCTAAGGATAACATGTATAAAGATTTTTCGATGAACATTAGTTTGCGGCTTTTCAGAAAGTATGAAAAGATAGGAAACTGTTTCTAACATTATAAAAGTGGACAAGTTGTCTAGTTTTTCCCTGACTTAGCTTTTACTTTGGTTGCTTTTAAAATTTTTTCAAAAGAAAATTTCAAAAAAAAGCAGCTGAAGGAAAAAAATCCTGCCCATAATGCGTAAAGTTTACTGGACTTTTAACAAGGAAAGTTCATTTTTATCGATTTTAAGTTATTTTCGTCGACTTCGAGTCCTTACCTTCATAGCCCTGAGAAAATATTGAGAAACCTTATTCAAAATAGAATTCATTTCTTCGAAAATAACACATAACTAGCCGCAGAGCACACTTGTAGCCGCATTTCCGGCCATCTCGCTTTTTGGCAATTTTTGGAATCTATAATTTTTTTATTTTCCTTCTAAAAAGTGATTTGTATAGCAAGTTTGAGAAGCTCGACTGAATATTTATCTATGGGAATACCTCCAATTTGTGCGGGGGATATATATTTATTGACGCCATCGCCGTCTGTTATTGTTATTCTTCGCCTTATTGTTAGGCAACGCTTTTTTTTTGCCTTGCATCCTTTTTTAAGCTTCGTCGGGTCGGACTTATCATTTTTATCTTTTCGACGTTACAGTTTTCATGGACTTTTTGTCGATTTTTGAAAGTGAGCTCTTAAATTTTTCACTTCTGTTTTCAGCTTTTCCCACGCTTTTTCTCGTCATTTCCGCAGTTTTTCTCGTCCAAGTATCGTAATGATTACAGTAGCTTAAAACTTGAATCGAAATGAGAGTCGCCGGTGCCGACGTAGCCATGTCAAGAAGACTTTCGACGACGGAATCCCCCGGAAGGCGTTGCAACTCCATGGAGGAGGCCTCTTCGAGCAGCGTCTCGCCGTCGAGCAAGAGCTCCGGCTCGCCCGTCGACCAGAAGGCCAAGAAGACTCCGATCAGGCCGAAAGCCGCACGTCATGCAAGAAGAAAGGCTAACTCCGCCTTCTCTCAGTCTCGCAGCGGAGGCTACAAGGAGCTGGACGAGCCCCTGCGAGTCCCAAGCCCCAACCAGCTCAACAAAATGCTCCAAGGCGTCGAGTTGGGAGGTCCGAGATCTGGGATAAAGAAACTTTCTTTCCTGAATTAAACAAAGTCCGAAAAAAACTCATATGCGCTTCTTAGCTTGTTTAGAAGAAGCTAGGAGGTCTGAGAATGTAAAATTAGAAAAAAAAAGTTGAAATCTTGCTTGGAAATAAAGTTCAGTAAGAGTTCTAAACTCATTTCTAGCAAGACAAAAACGAGTAAAAAAAATAGGAAAATGATTTTTTGAGTCCTGATGCTGTAGAAGCACAAAAAAAGAGAAAAAATTTATTGAACTCGATGCTGTTTTCATAAAGTTAAAATTAAAGTGATTACTAGGGTTTTTTAAAAAAACCTTAAATCTGTTCAAAGTTTGGCTACGAAGAAAAAAATTTCTAGCGTTTCGGGTTTCTTTTTTTATACAAAACTGTCTTTTCGAATCATATTTGAAGGATCCTGTAAGTTTTTATAGTTAAAAAAAGAAAAAAATGGGATTTATAGAGCAAAAAAATCGAAATTCAAAAATAACAACTGTGACTTCAGAAAAAAAAGTTAAAAAGGGAACAGCAAGAAAAAAACCTATTCCCATGGTCTGGTGTTCAAATCCCTCCAAATACCTTACAACTATTGGTTGTCCAAGCTTAAAACGCTTTTTTTAGTGTACGGCGGACCTCAAGGAGCACAGCCACAAACCCCGCAGACGCCCCAGGCTCCTTTCACTCCAAATGGTCGGTTTTTTTTTGCCGATCTTTCATAAAAGAAAAGTTTCAGGATCGAGATTCTCTCAACCGACGCCTTCGCCTCACTACGGTAGCGTCGGCGCCCCTGCTCCGGACCTCCGATCTCCGACTTTGATGTCGCCGAATCAGCAGCCCATGCAGCCGAATCCCAACCTTCCCCGGGTCATTTCAACTGGTAATGCTTCGAAAACTTTTATTCGGGAAAAAAAATTGGGCGCGCCCTAGCGCAACAGGTTGTGTGCCTGTCTACGGTCCGCAGGGTCACAAGTTCGATCCCCGCCTCGACCCACCCAAGGGGTTTAAGAAATGTGGGTAGTGGGAAACCACGACTTCAAAATCCACAGCCGTTACACACAAAGACGGATATAGCTGATTCACGGCCAGCTTGGGACGCTAAGGGGGCTGTCTGCGCTCTCCACGAGCCATGCGCTGTCTCGTTCATTATCGTGTCAGGACCATTCTTTCGATGGCTCAAGCCAGCCGTGAATCAGCTGTATTTCACTCAAGCCAGTCCACTGATCATCACGGAAATCAGAATAGGACCTTAGCTAACCGACGCCGCTCAAGTGGTACAAAGGCGTAGGAAGAAGAAGAAGAATGCTCCGAAAAATTCCGCTCAAAAAATCTCCTTTTTCAGTTTTCAGGATATTTCGAGACTTATGCACTATGGGATTAAGCTAAACATTAAATTTTCTCTAAAAGTTTCATTTGACAAACTTAACATCATCATTAAAAGTCGTTCACAAATGATTTCATGACTTGTGCCTTCTATTTTTTCTCTGGAACAAAAAAAATTATCTTCAATCTTAACTTTTTGCAGGCGAACTGGTGCCAACGGCCATGAGAATCCCACCGCAGATGCCGCCACAAATGGCCCAGCAGATGCAGCAGCAGACCATTCCGATGACGATTCCTGGCCACTATTTCGCCCAGGAGCCGTCGAGCTTCCTCAATGGTTTGTTCATGATGAAGTTTTCATTAGAAAATTGTTTGAAGTTGAGGAAATTGTCGAAGAAACATGATTTTGAGCATATTTAGTGATTATTTCAAATAGATAAGATCACCAAAAGATCACTCGCGGTCGGTTTATTAAGTTTTCTAAAAACTAAAACTTTTTGTTTAAAATTCTGTTACCGGGGAAATTTCTGAGATCGAATAAGATGAGGTTTTGAGTCCAGTAAGTTTTGGATTATACTGAAAAGGCTCGAACTTTTTCGACTCTGAAGCAATAAATACATGCTTTTTAAAGAAAATACAACTTTTTAAGTTGGCAAAAAGATTTTATAATCACAAAAATGAATGAAAGATAAGCCTGATCGAGTTATGTGATGAGAAAAATGGACTTCCAGGTGCCCCTGGACTGTGTCTTCTCGGTTGCGTTTTCCACGTCTTCGACTCGGACCGACTCATTTCGGATAAACTCGACCTCCAGACCCTCATCTTTGCTGTCAAGGTGGCTAGGAATCATTCAATTCGAATCAAATCAAAATCGAAAATGTTTCATTTTATTTACACAAGAACTGAATTGAAGGGATAAAGTGTAGGAAAATGTAGATCATAGGAGATTGGGATGGGAGAAAGTTTGAAATTAAAACGGAAGATGATGATTTTGAGAATAACTTTTTTTGAAGTCTAGTGAAATTTTTTTTCGCATCAAGGAGTTCATTTTTTTAACTGAGTAGATAATTCTTATTTTTTTGATCTCGAAGAAAAAAATTCTTTGTACAGGAAGTATATATAAGAAAAATAAATTGTGGAACCAAACGAATTTTTTTGAAGTTTTTTTCGAAGAAATTTGCGTATCTTTTGGATTAATCTGGAAAAAATTGAAAACATTTTGTAACATTGAACAGCATGAACAAATTGGAGATTTTCTTGGATCGATTCAAAAATTTTTGAGAAAAATTTTTCAACTGTTTGTGTCCGAAAACGTATTTTTTATTAAGCGGCAAAAAAACTTTTTCTAGTTTTGTTCTGAAACCGCGAAGATAGAAAAATTTATTTTTTTTCTTTTTGAAAGGTTAATGTATTTACGGAAAACCTTAAAGCGAGAAATCATTTATTGAAACTTGGAAAGGTTTCCTGAACTCATACGAAAAATTACAGTTGTAAAAATGGAATTGACTGAAACGGACCTTTTTTTTGAAAAAACGAAATTTGAAGGTTCATGGCGGTGAGATCGAATTCGGGATGAAGACCTACACTCCGGAAAGAATACCTATGATTACCCACGTCATTGCGGATTCGATTCGACCCCCGCAAGCTAGACAGGTGAGAAATATGATGAGAAAATCAACTTTGCATGAGATAGGTAAAACCGTTTGCTTTCGACTTTTTGCTTTTGAATGATTTCCGATGTTTTCCTGCGCAAACCGTTTTGAGTCGCGCGCTGTTAAAAGGCCACAACCCGTAAAGACAACCTCTATGCGAGAAACCTGTAAAAACCCTCAATAAGCGTGCTTCTTTCACCTTCATTGACTCTCAACGGATGAATCTAATGCATTCTAATGTTCTAGCGGAAGTCCTTTCGAGTCGGGCGCAGTTTTTTAACCGCAAAAGCTGCATTTTCTATGCGAGAGACGGAAAAAACCCCTAAAATGAGCACCCAAAAATTGATAATTCAGAGAAAAAGTATCCTTGTCTGAGTTTTTGAGTTTTTACTTCTCTCACACTCTTTTAATTTTAACGGATGACTTTTATTTTTAACGAATACTCTCTAGCAAAAGTCGTTTTGATTCGGACGCGGTTTTAAAGCCGCCGCTATCTCTAGACCTATTTTCCGTGCGAGAAGCGTGTGAACACCCCAAAAATGAACACTTAAAAACTGATAACTCAGAGAAAAATGTATTTGATTTTTTGTTTCTCTCACCCTTAATCACTCTTACCAGATGACTCTATCACAATGCGCTCCAGAGGAAGTCGTTTCAAGTCGGGCGCAAAAAAAAGAAAAAAATTTATATTTTTAGGCCCTCGAGCACCGGAAACGAATCGTGACCATGCAATGGCTGGTCGACGTGCTTCAAAACAAAAAAATGGATGTTCCATGGAAGTTGGCTCATTTGCCGTCGATCTTCAGCGAAAATTATCGACCTCACTTTGGGAAGGTACTGAGGAATTGTTTGCTACGGTATCCATTTTTTTTTCCCAGTTGATCGCCTTGGCTGGCTTTGACGACACGGAAAGACCGGCGATTCAGTTCATGTTGGAGTCGCTTGGCGCCAAATGCACCCCTTTTCTGGCCCGATTCAACAATTTGGTCATCGCTAAAAGGTGCTTTTTTAAGTTTGAATGGTGAAAAATGGAAGAAATTCTTTTCCAGAACAAAAAGGAAAGTAATCTCCGGAAAATTCGTCTACGAAAAATTTAGATAACTTTTTTCTGACTCCTTCAAAGTTCTTGATTAAGCTTCAATTTTTTTTTCATAATTTCTGGCTTCTATGCGTCCTTTTCTCGCAGTCTGAAAGTCTCAGACTTATCCAATAACTTATTCATGCGTTGAATGGATCTTGAAAAATTTCAAATTTCGAAGTTATATAATGAATGGTCGCTTCAAAAATCGAATAGTATTGAGTTTTTTTCTGTACCGTTGAAAGAAGAAATGTGATTAGAACTTTAAATTTTAATTGAAAAAAATAATAGTTATTTTTTTATTATTATGAAGCGCGGTCGGCTCAGTTTACTGTCCAATTCATTCGTTTATCAATCTTTTTTTCTCCAGTCCTACCGGAGAAAAGGTCGAAAAGGCTCGCGAATGGGAGATTCCGGTGGTGAATTATCAATGGCTGGCGGATACCTATGTCAACGTGAGCCACATGGTTCAGGATCGGCCGGCGATCGATAATATCAGATATCAGGTACATCGAAAAGAGAAACTCCGTGAAAATGAAAAAGGATTGCAGATTGGCCAGCCATCTTGTGGGGTTGTCCAGTCGCCGATGGTCATGGAGACCATTTCCAACGAGATGAAGGCTCTTTTGAGTGAGTTTTTTGGAGGGAAATATGTCTTTAGGAGAGAGCCAGTTTTCTGAGCTTCCATGAGAAGTTTTTGAAACGATCAAAAATTTCTCCATTTTGAATTCCAATCCTTTCAGTCCCCTGGAAGCACCCGATCATGCTGACCCAGGAGATCGTGTACCGCGGCAAAGAGAACAGAATGCGGCTGTCGGCCGACGAGTCGCAGTTCCCGAATATCCGCCTCAAAGCCCAGGGTCCGCCCCCGACCGCCGACGAGATGGCCGAGCTGGAGAAGAAGCAGGAGCCCGACTCTGACAAGCCCAAGATCGTCGTCGCCTTCGGAGGCTTCGACGAGGAGAATTTGGAGGTCTTCGATAAGGTATGTGTAGAGTTTTTGAAAAACTGAGACTATCCCCTTTAAAATAGTTCGAGAATTTTTGAAAACCCAAAAAATAAGAAAAACCAGCTCTTTTAGTTTTGTAGTTTTTTTGGATGACCCAATTATTGATTTTTAAAAATTTCTCTTTTCTGGAATTTAGCACAGTACGGTAAAAAGAAATGAAAAAGAAAACTTTTTCTCAATTTTTTTGAAGTAGCTTTTTTTGATTTAACAATGATGAAGCCTAGAGCACTTATTCAGAAGAAAAAGAACATTTTTTTCGCGTTTTTTTGGACCATTAGTGGCCACTCAAGTTGATAAAATTCCTTTTTTATAAAGAACTCTAGGTTCTGTTGCTCAGTTTGTTCAAGGTTCAGTTGAAGTTTATCATTTCCTAGGATTTCTGTCAAAATTATAGATCATAAAATTTGTTTTCAAACACTTTTCTATCATAAAAATCTCAAAACACTCGCTTTGATCGCTTAAAAAAAGAAAAAAACTTTTTCGAGTCCAGAAGATGACTTGACTTGAACTTAGACAACTAGAAAGACCTCGATTGAAAGGAAATTTGGTTGAGACAGACTTTTCTAAAAGGAACCTTTTCAGAAAGTCCGATACCTTGGAGGAAAAACGACGGAAAACCTCGCGGAATGCACCCATCTGGTGATGGTGAGCGGTCGCCGGTCGATCCGGCTCATGGAAGGCATTTTGATGGGAAAGAACATCGTCTCGGCTGACTGGATCATCCACAGCTTCGGCTACAATCAGTGGATGGGTCGGTTTTTCAGAAATTTTGGAAAACTAGACATGCAACCTTTGCGTAAACGTAAACGAGTATTCCCGAAAAATTGAAAAAACTGCGTTGTGTCAAAATAATATCTTTTTTTAGGAGATTTTGTCTTCTGTGGAGTAGCATAAACTAGGAAAAATTTAAGCAGTTAGTATTTTTTTAAAGGTTTCGACCACCTTTCTTGTCCAAACCAGAAACATGTGAAATCATATAAGGAATGGTAAATTTTCCTCAAAAACTCTTTTGAAGGTCCTTGAAAACAGTGATGAGCTTGTAAATTTTTTTAAGAAAAAAATAATCAGTTTTTTTAAACTTGCTTATATTTTAGTGAATGAGCCTCTTTTGGTGAAATTTTTGCAAACTTGAACGCTTATAAATTACTCAAAGTTTCTTCAGACTCTTATTGAGCACTGAATTATAATAAGCATGAGAAACTTTTTCTAGTATACCTGATATCATTCAAAAATCCCAGTCGATAAAGATAAAAACTGTTATTTTAACATTTCCAGACACTTTCGACTATTTCCTGCGCGACGAGGATGTCGAAAGGCACTTGGGCTACTCCTGCAAACGGAGTATCATTCGGGCCAGGCATCATCAAGTTTTCGAGGTTTTCCAGAGAGTTCGCTGATTTTCAAGAAGTGTATTATTTCAGGACGTGGTGTTCCACGTGACGGTTTCCGTGGAGCCGAGTCGCGACACAATTTGTCACTTGATTCGGCTCGGCGGCGGGAAAATCGACGAGAATCGCCCTTCGCCGGCTCATATCGGTAAGTTTTTGTAGATCTTTAGAAGAACTGCTGTATTATCGGACTGTCAGAACAAAAACATTTAAAGATATGATCAAAAACGGAAAGTGAGATTACACTGGAATGGTCATATGATGCCCAATGTCTTAGGAACTCCAGAGTGGTCCCTATAGGGGCAGCTCTAGGAGCTCTTGGTGGGTCTCTTCAGGGAAAACTTTACCAACCTCTACAGAGAGCATTAAAGTTCGCAAAAATGATCCCTATAGGGAAAACGTTATTCAATAATTGTTATGGACTCTAAGCGAAGAAGCATTTCCATGCGAAAAACTGAATAAATAAGCGTTTTTTTATAAGAAGTGGAAAGACCCACATAGGTCCACTTGAGCTTTAGGGGCTAAGGGGTCAGACGCCAAACCCCTATAGGGGCCACTTTTTCGTTCCCTAGGGGGCTCTTTTTTCCCCTAATCCCTATAGGGGTCACTCTATAATTCCCAAGTCTCACTTTCGCTATGTTTTACTTCCGCGGTATACCTTCTCATTTCTTTAATCTATAATTTTCAAAAAAATCAAAATTTTTTTCAAAGTGAAATTTGACTATCTTCAGAAAAGAGTCTAAAGATTCTCATTTACAAGAGTTTTTCCAGTTCGATGCGTTCAAACGGACTCGCCGTACATCGTCATCAGCTGTGACGTCGACGTTAAAGGCCTCCAATACTTGACCGATTGCAATTTTCGTGAGTTTCCATTTTTTTTTTACAATAAACAGTTGGCTTAGTAACTTTTAAAAAGTGAGAAGAGTGAACAAACGGAGGTTTTAGTAAGATTCGAAGATAAAATGTAATCTTAAAATGTTTTCATCTCGGCTTGAAACGGCGGGGTGCGATATTAACTATGCGCAAAGCGGTCGCGACGCGTTTTGGCGCCAATTTAAAACTTTCCGTATACTTCGGGGGTTTTTTATGTAATAGGTTATTCAAATTGAGTTTATCTTAAAAAAATAGGGGCTTTGAAAAGTTTATCGAATGAAGGAAGGTAATTTTCTAACTAAGAAGTTCGCTGGTGCGATACATTTCAAATTGCCGCCAAAAACGCGTCGCGATCGCTTTGCAAGCCTATTGAAAATGCAACTTTCAAACTGGGGACTATAAATTTGTAGAATAAAGTGCTAAATGATCAGGTTTAATTTCTCCATCACCCAAGTCTTTTTTAATTTTTCACTTGTCGCGAACAGTTTTTTTTTTTTTGAAAGAAATTTTATTCTCGAACATTGATAACGCTGGATGTTTCTGCGCATTTCTAGTGACCACTTTGAGTAGCGTCACAACTCTTGAGTGCCTGGAACTTTCCAGAAAAGTTCCGCGTTCCAATGTCCAAGTTATTACCATTATCATTACAGTGACATTAAAAACCCAAAATTTCAGCAATCTACAACGTCGACCTGGTGCTGATGGCCGTCATGCGGCAGCAACTCGAGGCTCACCCCGCCTACCGGGTCCATCAACCGGGCACCAACATGCCGCCGCGCCCGATCGGCCCGCCCCTGGTCCCGATGGGCCCCCGGCCGCCTTCGGGCATCCTGGAATGCTCTACAGAGCCGCCCCATTGTCCTCCGGACCTCCCGGCCAGATCCTCCGTCATGCTCCTTGAATCTTTCGTATTGATCTTTTTTGAGATGATTGCCTTTTTTTGATCTTTGAAGCATGTTTTTGTGAGGATAGAAAGAGCTGTCTAGACTGTCTAGATTTTTCAAAAAAAAAATTTTCCAGAGCCTCCGATAGCGTCTAACTTTTCAGGAATTTAGGATCTCTTATCGATTTTTGAGCAAGTTGAGACGATAAAAAAAATTTTTTAATCAGTTTTAGTCGTTTCCTTTTTATTTTTAACATTTTTATCTCCATCTCGAATTTTCGAATTTGTATAGATTTTTAAAATCAGAATCAGAAAAATGACTTTTTCCGAAATTTTTTTTCGCTTGACGAAATGAAGTTTGAAAAAAACCATCAAGTGCGCTCCACGGAACTTCTGACGTCATTTGAGAACATCTCTGAATGTCTGTACCCTCTCTCCCTCTCAATATACGCCAGAGCGCATTTTCAAAGATTAAAACAGCCATCTAAGGCATTTCGTTTCATTTTCACGATTTCCAGCTTTCAAATTTGACACGAACCCCCGTTACTCGAAAAAAAAGCGCCTTAAAATTGATTTTTTTTTTAACTTTCATATTCTCTCCACCTTTTCAATTTCCACTTCTTCGTACTCCGAAAAATCCTAATAATTTCTCCAAATCTCACTGAATTGTGTAAATTCCCATGTTTCCAATCTCGTTTTTTCTTGCTTCTGACGATTTTCTTGTGCAATAATTTAAATAATTATAATCCTTTTCCCTCTTTTCACAATAATTTCTCGGGTACCTAAAATCGATTGTAATAATCTTTAATCATGTATACTTTTGAATACCTTCTTGTAATAAAATAAATTTTTTTTTGATTTTTATTTTTGCGTGAAATTTTCTATTTTTCGGTTTTCCTAGCCTTTTTTTTTACATGTATTATGGAGGAAATTTCCTTCAAAAAGACATTTTTTGGAACTTTTGACCTTTTTTTGAGGGATTGAAAAACTCGTTACGTACAATTTTTCGTCACGATTTTAAATTTTTCTGGTCGCAGTGGGAACGGCTTTCAACGCGTCGCGGCTGCTTTGATCTTGCGCCCGACCTTAAATGGGATCCGCGAAGACTTGATGAAGAACTTATAACATTAAAGCAAGTAGCTGGGCGAAGGAAGTGAACTACACTTAAAACGCAACGCAACCGCGACGCCGTAAGCCATTTCAAATGCGACCAGATAAATTCAAGCGGTAGCAAAGGAAGCTTGAATCAAGAGAAAACTGGTACCTTCTTGGATAAAAAATTATCAATTTTCCAAATTTCTGGGAGTTTCTTTAGTCCAGGCCGAGCTGAAGAGTTTTTTCGGAGTTGCTTCTGCCTTCTGGACCCATTTGGAATGGGTCAAACCGTCGCGGTCGCGCCGAAAAGTCATCACAGCAATTTTAGCCATTCCAAATGCGACCAGAATGATTCAAGTGATATGGACTCTGCAACTTTGGTTCGAAAATGATTAAATTTTCGAATATTCTTGACTCCGGTAGTCCAAATCGAGTTGAAAAGTTTTTTCGAAGTTGCTTCTGCCTTCTGGGCGCATTTGGAATAGGTCAAAGGTTGCGCCTAAAAGTCATCGCAGCAGTTTTAGCCATTCCAAACGCGACCAGAAGGCTTCAAGTGATGTGGTCTCATAGTTTCACTGAGAAGGGATGTTTTTTTCTATCAATCGGTTGAATTTTTGATGAAATTTGACGGAAGGGTACTTGTAAGCCTCTCACTCCGGAGCATTAAAAAAATTTCTAAAATAGATTTTTTTAAAGTTATGCAGTTTCAAAAACTTCGAAAAGGGGTTTTGCCGTTATTTGTGGAAATAGCGGCTTTATAAGGATCACAAATCGAAAAAAAAAGAGAAATTTTCTTCTCATTTGGAAATCAAAAGGTCCTAAAGTTAACTCTAAAAAGATCATCAAAAAAGTGAGAGAAAAAATACAAAAATCGTTCATTTCCTTTATTTCTTCACAGACTCTTGGGTTCTGGAAGTTTTGCGGGCAGAAACAGATTGAATTCCAAGGGAAGTAGGGCTTTCGTCGGTAGGAAGGTCATGTCGAATCGACTCGGCGTTGGCGACGGCGCCCGGGGCGATTCGAGATTTTCCACGACGGATATGTAGGATGGAGTGATGTCCCTAGTTGGTTGATAATTTCAGAAAGAGGGGAGGAATTACCTGATAGTAGTGTCGGATCTCTGAATTCCAACCCGGCGAGACGAAGTTTCCGACGGTTTTTTGGCAAGTGGGGGCGGCCGCGGGGGATTCTGAGAAAAATTAAAGTTCTATAATGACTTTTCAAGACAGGATTTTGAGACACATGATCAATGATACATGATATTTTTAGATAATAAATGTTTTCTACGCTTTTTTTCTCCAATCGATTTTTTTTTAACTGTTTTTCGTTTTTCGCGGCTTGAAAACTGCGGATTTTCTCTGCATCCTCCTAGTATCTTGGCGACCACTCTCGTGTTTACGTGCTCTTTTCACGTTTCTCTAACCTCGCCGGTGAGGGAACAGAGAGACGCAGACACCCGAAAAGTGTCAAGTCGCGGCGAACGGAGTATCTTCTTCAGATCAATTTTTATCCGAAAAAAGGAAATTTCTGTGAAATTCCGGGTACACCGTTCAATACGCAATGGTAAGCTTTATATGAAGAAAATGTACTTGGGAACGCCAGAGGGATCCCTAGAGTGGCAACCTTATTTGAGTTTTCCACTAGTGACCACTTTATCTTCATATACAGTGGCACTAGAGCTTCCTTAAGTGGTCACTCTAGGGAGCGAGCTAGTCGTTTATTGTTTATTCGTTCATTTGCGCCTTTTCAACTTTATAACCAAAACAAAAATTTAAAGAACCCTTTAGAGACCGCTTAAGCTTTAGGAGACCTTCAGACCCTATAGGGATCCCCTAAATTTTAGCCGTCCAGGGGCACTATTTTCTTCCTATAGGCGCTTTTTTCCCCTAATCTCTCTAGGGATCTTTCTGTCGTCTTTAAGTGTCTCAAACCTCTTTTTTTTTACCAAGTCCTGAAACTATTAGAGAAACAGTGTGTTGATGGTAGAGGTTTAGTCGCCTATAAAGTCACCTACACAGTCAGCTATACAGCTATCCCAAGTTAGAAGCAAATAGAGAACATTCTTTGAAACTCACTTGTTGAAGATTCGTCTGGAACTGCTTCACCATCTCGTCCACGATCTCGTCGGTTAGATCCGTATATTTCATTGTATGAAGTAAAATGGGAATGAATGAGTTCCAAGAGGTTTTTACGCCTTTTTGATTCAAAACGTGGAAAGTTTTGTCAAAGTTCACTTCAAAAAGATTTTCGGCATGATAAGAAATTTTTTTTCAGAGACTTGATAGAGGACAGCTTTGAAGTTGTCGAATTTCGACAAATTTTAGTAAAATTAAAAAAAGAAGTTAAGATCCTGGTACGAAAGCGACATAGTATGTAAATGAAAAAGGGTAGTATTTTTTTCTTTGTAAGAACTGTTTTAAAAAAATATCCGATATCATCGTGAAACTTTATTCCATCAACTTTATTAATTTTTAATACTCTTTGGGTTACGGTAGCCAGCAGAGTCGTAAACACCGCGACGCACGCTGTGGAAAATGCCATTTTTACAGTCAAATTTTTTTCAAAGTTGTTGTGTTTTTTTGTAGTATTTTTCAGTTTTTATAACTATTTTTGTGTCGAAATTTGCTATTTAAAAGAATGAGACCATTCTGTTTGTGAATAAAATGTTTTAACACCTGTCCCTGAGAATTATTTTTTGGTCATTGTGTAAACAATTTGGATAGGACGATTCCATTTTATTGTGCTGTTTTTGTCAAATTTGATTTTGCATACGTTTTGAGATTTTTTCTACCTTTGCGTTTTAGGAATGTTTTTATTTTTATTTTTGATACCCTAAAAATTTGTATTTACTCACGAAATGTGTCATTTTTTCAGTTCTTGATCGATTTTCTGGAATGTTTTTGTTATTGAGCCTTGGCGCTAGTTTTCCGTTCACTTTTTGTTCAACAGACCTTGGTTCGATCGATTTTTCACTCGGATTTCTTTATTTTTCGATCTCTTTATAACTTTTTGGTTCATTTTCTGACTCATAGGTGCTTTTGAGATCAATGTCCGAAGTTTTCGAAGCCAAAAACAGAACGAGAAGTTTTCGAATGTTCGTAGATTTCTACAGAGACAAACTAGTTTTTTTTTTTTCGGCGTCACTTTTTAGTTCTTTTAATTCGATGGGAGAATTGTGTTGTTTTCTTGTTTGTGAGAAAAATTTTTTGGTTCAAGGTTTTGTTTATTTGTTTTTTAGTGATATTTAGAGGTTTGAAATGGGATAAAGTCCTTTTTAAGACTATGAAGAGTTTTTGTTTCTTTAAATGGTCCAAATATGGGGTAAAAAATTTCTTGTGAAGTTCATTTTTTCCAGATTTATTTAACTCTTCCTAGTTTTTAAGTATTTTAAAAACTTTTTATTTTTTTATTTCTTTTTCAAAGAGGCGCTGAATGGGACTGAAAACGGAATTGGTTGTTTTTGTTGGTTTTTGATTGCCTCAGGGCCTTTTTCATCGTCCCTGTTGATCTGTTTGTGTTACCAGAACCATTCATTGAGAAAGAGGTCTTTCTCCGGCTATTATTGTATTTATTTTGATGTTTCTGTAGTATTTTTGTATTCAAACATCTTTATGGCCTTTTACCTATAAAATATCATTTTTTTGAATTTTTTTATTGAACTATATTGCTTTCTAATGCTGTCCAATTTTTATTTTGGGTCGTTCTTGCTTCAAAGTTTTGAATGATGTATAAATTAGCCTCAGATAATTTGTAGAAACCTCTTTTTTTCTCTTTTTCTTTCAACAGAAGTTCAACTTTGAGGCTAAGGAAATTTATATAAAAATTCAATTTTTTTCAGTCTTTTTGTTTATTTGATATTTTTGGATGACTTGAAATTGACCGCTCAAAATCTTCTCAAAGAAAAAAAGAGATGGTTAAACAAATAGAGATTTTTTTGAACTTTAAAAAGAATTTTTTTGGTCGAATTTTGTTAAAGAAAAAAACATGATTTTTGAAATACTTTTTCTTCTGTTATAGTCGATGTGCCACAAGTTGAAATTTCATGGAACAACACTCCGCTGTTTCGATTTTTGTGCGGTAGCGCGCATCTTGCGAATTTGCCAACTTCGGCCACGCTAATTTTTTTTTGGTTTTCATTCTAATTTCGATCGTTTTTTTATTGTTTTATTTCTTTAAAATGTAATATTATCGTTGAAAAAGGTTTGCGTTGTACAAATGTAAAAAGAAAAAAACACAGTAAATTTCATGATGTTTCTCGAAAAAAAGTTTGAAAAAAACTTCATGTATTCTTCAATCGCTTTGATATTGTTTTTCTCGTTTCTCAAATAGTTTTCAAAGGCTTACCAAAAGTATTTGACGGTGAAACAGGCCGTAAACGCCACAAAATTCTACAATAGTTTCTGTGTTTTTTTAAAGCCATGTTTTAATGTTTTCATCGTTTTTTTTTTCTGTTTGCAGTCGTTAATTGTTTTTTTCAGAAAGTGAGCGCCTTATAAAATGAAGATGCGTACTTCCATGAGCACATGCACCATTATTTGAAGAAAGGTTTTCGTTCCTTTTTTTTTAAATGGAGCTTTAGATAAATCGTATTGCTGAACTTTACGTCAGAAATGTGAACAGGGAGCAATTGGAACAGTGGAAACGATGTGCTGAACGAAATGTCCAGCAAACTAATAATTTTTTTCCTTTGAACTTATGTATCTGTTTTTTTAAAAATAAAAAAATTCGTCAATGTAGAAACATTCAATTTTTTTAAAAATCATTCACTGTGTATTTTATTTCTGATTGGGATATTTTTTTACATGATTTGAAATGAAAAAAATGTCGATAAAGGCTCAATGAAGGTAAAATAACGGAATATATTGAACAAAAACCAAAGACCATCTCATGAAAAAAACTTTCAAATATTATAAACGCATTTTTTTCGCTTAAAATTCGCAAATTACTCTACTTTATTTTTTTATCAATGAAACAGTCTATCCACTAGAAAAAGATAATTATGAGTTTGGCACGAAGAAAAACTATTAAAAACATGATTAAAAATAATGAAAAATTTCGAATAAAAAAATGGAAAGCGCGACCGAAATTCGCAAAAGGCAAGGCGCTTTCACGGCCACGGCCACCCAACGGAGTGTCGTTCCATGAAATTTCAAGTCGTGGCACATCGACTATATTTTTTTCATTAATAAAGGTTCAAGATATAAACAGAATATCAGACCTTGTTCATCAGGTGGTTTTGAATTTTCCCGAATGTTTCCAAATGTTTATATGAGTCAGAATTTGAAAGAAAAAAGGGAAAATTTGATTCCCATGACGTTTTTTTCTCAACGGTTTTTTTACTTGCCGATTCATTTTTTTAACTGTTTTCGAGGTCTCAAAAAAACTTATAAAATATTCTAATTTTTTTCTTTGCTTTTTTTCTATGTTTTCTATTGTGCTAAATTTTTTTTCTAATGCCGTTTATTCCTAATTTGAAGTCAGTTTGCATCAAAATTTACAAATTTTTTTAAACAATTAGTCAGGAAATAAAAAAATATTTTGGATAGAAATATGATTTTCAGCGGCTTTTATTTTATTTCCGCTTTATTTTCCAGCAATTTTAGAGCTTTAGCCTCGATTTTTCAAACTAATTAATTACGCTACTTTTCTCGAAATTGATAGTATGAGTCATTGAAGTTGATTCCTTTCCGGTGTTTTATTTTAATTAAATGGTAAAAAAAAATCAAGTTCTTCCCAAAAATAAACATCGAAAATTTTTTAAGATGCCTGTGAGTCAGATAAAAATGACAAAATTTTATTTTTTTTTTTTCGGTTTTTTTCAATCGTTTCTCCTTTTTTTATCAATTCAACGTGCTTATCTGTTGAAAAATTCATAAATTTGCAGCGGAATGGCCGAAATTCGGAAAGGGGAAGAGTCCATGCCGGAAGAAGAGACGCAGACGGACACGGATGAAGTGACGTCAGAATTGTCTCAAGAATGGAGACTTCCGATTGAAGTCGTCGTGCATACTGATGGTTTTTTTTGGTTTTATTTTAAAGTCGTGGTCGCATTTGGAATGGCTCGACGCGTTGAGGCTCGCTATAATTTTTCAAAAAATCATTGAGCGGAACTCGTTTGGGGTCAGGCTCTCTTTTTTCGCGACCGTAACAGGTCGAGCCATTCTACATACGGCCAGAGGGTTTCAAGTCACAGTATTATATACTTGTTCTTATGATATTTCAATCTCACCGTCTTGAAAAGAAGTGGACGCGTTTGGAATAGCTTAACGCGTCGCGGTCGCGTTGCGGCTTTGTTTAAAGGTGTCTGAGGCCTTTTCGCGCAAGTCGGTTTCAGTCGGGCTCATTTTTTTCAGAAGTAGTCGAGCCGCGGACGCGTGGCAGCTTACTTTGTTGATCTCTGATGCCTTCTTGCGCAAGTCGGTTGAAGTTTTGTTTATTTTTTTAAAGCAGTCGAACCGTTCCAAATGCGACCTTTTTTGTTAGGATCACCTGGGAGCATTTTAAAAAATAATTTTCTTCAGAAAAAGTTCCATCCAATGAAGTTTCTGAACGAGAAGATCTGCAGTTTCCATTGGTTCATGGACAGAAGGGACAAAAGAACTGTCAGTTTTTTTTGTTGGTTTTTTTTAGGATATCTAAGCAATTTTCTATGAGTAATGGTGAGTTTGGTGGACTTTTTTCACTTTTTTGAAATTGCTAATAAAATTTCTGTTGGTTTTAATGATTTTTGTGGACTTTTTGGGAATCGAAATTGAAACAATCGCTCTTAGAGCGAAGTGGACTACTGACCGTTTTTCTAATTTCTACAGGCCTTTCTCCTTCACCTGGCATTTATTATATCCTACTTTTTTTCAGCTCTCTTGCGCTAGTTTCACTGGAACTCTTCATTTTAGAGATTTTTTTCTCTCAAAAATTTTTTAGATTTCTAAACTTTAAGATCGTCGTTATTCATTATCATCACCTTTAATCACCTTCCTTAACCAGAAGAGTCTCAGGAAATTCCTCTCTAGAAGCTATTATCAGAGTTTTTTGAATTTCAAGCAGTTTAAGGTCAACATAATAATAATCTGCTTCATTCTGAAGCTTTCTGTGCATTTTCAGTACATCCGCTGTTATTTCCCTTGGCTATTTTCGGCGTTTCTGTCTATTGTCCCTCAGATTTTTGAACTTTTTTCGAAAACAGTTTTATCAGAAATCTTTTTCTTCTGGCCCTGTATCAATAGATTTTCAAGGTTTGAGCTCTTCTCAAGCTTTTTACACATAGATTGCGAATTTCGACGTTTTCCAGGTCACAATCCTGCATCAGTGTCCCACTGATAAATTTTACGTTCTGAAGCTTTAACTTGATTCTGAAGGCATTTTTTTCAGAAGCTAATTAATTACAGTTTTACGACTACTGAGGTATTGAAGGTCTTCTGGATCTTTACCGTCCAGTTTTTTTTTCAAGGCTCATTATTCTTGCCATTTTATCAAAATACTCTAGTCGTTACTCGTTTTTGCAAATATTTTCAAGCTCTGAGCTTTTTTTTACACAGATTTGAAGTTTAGAGGTTTTTCACGTCATATTTTTGCGTTTGGATCATTCTGATAAGGGCCTTTATTCTGGAACTAGATTCGGAGGAAATCAGGAAATTTTCGAAGGCTCCTTTAGCCTACCCAGTTTCATTAAAAATTTTTTTTTGGCATTTTTTTCAAGGATTTTCCTTTGAAGCCAAGTTTTTGTATTTTGAGGATATCCGGCGTAATTTCTCTTTTTCTATTTTTCTTCTTTCTATTCTAATTGTTTTCAAACTTCTTTACATAGATTTGAAGTTTTGTTGAGGTCATAATCTTGCGTCATTATCGCCCCGGATAAGCTCTTTTATTCTGGAGCTCGGCCAGGATCCTCAGGAGATCGAGCTCCTGTGTCGTGACGTCTCCCCTCTCCTCACATCGTGCCTGCCTTCGTCATTGATTCAGGCGCCCCCAAGGCCCGCCTCCGAATTTCCGCTTTCTTTTTCGCGGCTCTTCTGAAGTCCTGTTCGTTTCCAGAGTGCATTTCCGCTCCGTTGAACTCGTCTCTTCGTTTTTTATTTCGTTTTGAAGTACTTTTTGGTTCTTTTGGTTTCGTAGAGGTTTAGGTACCTTTAAAGATACATTTGTCGAAAAAATTTGGATTAATTTTGTCTCGGATGTGCTTTTTTCTATATCAAAGTTCACTTCTCTTTCAATTTTTTGATTTTAAAATGTTTATATCTATTTTCTATATTACTAGAACGGTTCTGCTTTGTTAATTATGAATTTTGAAGCTTTTTTTATCGGATTTTTTTTCTAATTTTTCATTTTTTTTCGATGTCTTTTTAATTTGGTATGAATATCAAGCTCAAAAATTTCAAAAAAATAAAATTTTTTTCAAATTTGAATTTTTTTCGGCTCATTTTTACTCAATTTCCGCCATTTTTCGAAGCAGTTTTTGAGTTGAACTTTTTTTATGAGGATACTAAATGAAATTTTATTCAACGATGCTTTTTTTGAAAGCAAAAAAAGTCCTGTTTTTCAATAAAATATCGAGAAAAATTGGAAAAATTTTTTTGAAAACAAACCATCAAAATTTATCAATTTCAGTGGTCTGATGCTTCATTTCTATCGTGAAATCCGTTGTTTTTTAGAATTTACTAGGTTAGTAATGGTCTGGTTTTCAAAATTTATAACTTCATTCTCAAATTTTTTCAGTATTTCGAAAAGAAAATTTTGGAAATGTTCAATTTTAAATATTGATTTTTATTGTTGAATTTCACTTTCTAACTGGAAAATTTCAAAAAAATTGTTTCGGAAGTTTTTCAAGAGCTCTCCATGGCTTCTCCAACTTTTTTTTGTGTAATTAGTTTCGTTTCGGCCTACTGATGAGGTCCCTTGTTTTTTCAAGGAGCTCATCAAGGGAATGGATAATTAAGCCTGCACATCTAACTTCTAATCCAGGAAATTTTTTCCCGTTCAAGAAGCCCATAATTATCTTCATGCCCTCATTAGGAGCCAAAAACGCCTCAAGGAGCTGGAATAAGCGTGGAAGGGAATGGGTTTTGTAAGCCTGCACATCTAACTTATATTTCAGATTTTTCATCTCTCGTAGATTTATTGTACAGATAGATTTCCTATTCCTTGAATTCTTTCCAAGGTACTCAAAAAACGCCTTACGGAGCTGTAGGGAATGGATATATTGTAAACCTGCACATCTAACTATTTTTGGAGTACCTTCTCTGAAGACTGAATAAAGTTTCAAAGTTTCAAAGTACATCTAACTATTAACCCAGGATTATTTATTTTTTCTTGGATTCTTGTGCAGTAAACTCGGAGGGTGCCCAAAAAATGTTTCAAGGAGTTGATGGGAATGGATTAGAACGCCTGCACATCTAACGTTCAAACTCAGTATTTTCCGTCAATTTTAGGGAATGGACTTTGTAAAGCTGCACATCTAAAGGTCAACTTCAGAATTTTCTTTTTCTCCGTGGATCTTTGTCTAGTTGACTCTAAGGAAGCACAAAAAACATCTCAAGTATCCGAAATGAACGCTGAAGAAGGCTTGAAACTCGTCGCGTTGGTTTTTTTTTTCTGCCTTTGCCATGGCTTTCCTTTCCAAATGTCCGTTCGCATCGCGCGATTTTCTTTCCTTTTCCAACGGCTTTTTGGACTTGTCTGCTTTTCGCCACCGACACTACTCTATACTGCGTCAATTTTTGGATTATCCTTGGCTTTTTCCTCCTTATTTCTGTATATTTTTGAGGTTTTTGGTGCCAGGAATAGCTTTTTTTGGGCATTTCGTCATGATAATCTTGAGTTTGACGTGTTTTTTATGGTATTAATCCTGGAAACCTGGAAGATCTTGCGAAAAAAATATGATTATCATGGTTTTTAGTACGAAAAATAGCTTTTTTTGGGCATTTTGTCAAGATAATTTTACGTTTTGCGTCTTTTTTTGATTGGAAAATCGATAAATTCAAAAAAAAAACTTTTGAATTTTTTTTGGAGATGTAGTAGGGTATCTTTTCTATGTGAAATTTGGTTTTTTTCGCTTTTTTTTAGGAAAATGAAATTAAAAAAATAATTTTAGAGTTCATACAGAAAAATGAATAAAATTTTAGAAAAAAAGAAATTTTCCTCAAAATGGCGAGAAAAAAATTTAGGAATTTTCGCCGAATTTCGAAAAATTTTTTTGAGGATTTTGACCGAAAATTTCAGAAAAACATCAAAAAAATTTTTATGGTTCCCAGATTTTTTTCTCATAAAACACGCGTCATAAAATTTGACGTTTTTTTCTCACTTATTGAACATTTTTGCTGAAAATTTTCATTTTTTCCAATATTTTCAGGCCTTTTTTGCTTTTGAAAACCTTCAGGAAACATTAGAAATTTCACACGCAAAAAAATAGAGTATATTGGAAATAGGAGGCCCGCAATTCGACTCTTTCTCGCCCCGAAATTCCCTCAATTTCCGGGATCCATCGTCAACAGCAATTATATCATGTGTAGAAAAAATCGTGGCATTTTGTGGATTTTTCACTTTTTTGCCATGTTTTCGAATTTTGGAGAATTTGAGTAATTTCTGAAAAAGAAAAGAAGGAAAAGTAGGTGATTTTTGAATAGAAATTCATCCTTTTTCGAGCTTCGAATCATGAAAAAACCTTTTTTTTCGAATAAAAAGACCGAAATTTCCGTTTTCTCTACTTTTTTGAGTACGATTCGGGAACAAACGGTTATTTTTTTTCAACTGAAATAATCGCACTTTAAAAACGTCCACACTAGCAGAAATTCAAATATTTTCATGTGAAAAGAGAACTGTTCGCATTTTCAAAGACGTAGGCAGAAATATTTTACTTAAGGGAGAAATTGAAAAGAATCAGTTGATTTTTCATCAAAAAATGGCTCTGGAGATGATTGAAGAAATAGTGTGCCAAAAGAGGAGGTTTTACAGAGAAAACTGGTTTTTAATGGAATATTTCATAACATTTTTTGCAATTACTCGTGGCCACTCAAAAAAAATTTTTTCAAGTGTTTTTGGCGTCCTTTTTTCAATTTCCCATTTTTCCCATTCCATTTTTATGCGCTTTTTTATGTCTCTTTTTGTTCTTTTTTCAATTTTTTTTTTCGTTTCAATTACAGTTGTACAAAGGAATTCCAGAGTGGTCCCTATGGGGGCAAGCTTGAAAACCCTTAGAAGGTCCCTTCGGGGGACCACATTACCAACCCCTTAGGGATTACTATAAGAAAGTGGCCTCTATAAGGGGCCTGCTAATCGATAATTTTTCATGTACTCTATGCGAAAAAATTGAATAAATAAGCGTTTTTTAAATAAACTTTAAAGACCCCTATAGGGACCACTTAAGCTTCAGAGGCTAAGCGGTGAGACCCTAAACCTCCATAGGGACCACTTTGATTTTTCCCCTATAGGATGGGGATGTTTTTTCCCCCTTACCTCTATAGGGACCCCTCTTGAACTCGCAAGTAGCCAATTTTCTCATCTCCAAATTGCGGCCACTTTCTTCCCCCCCAAATTTTTTGCAACCCAATCATTCCTCCTTTTGATTTTGGCGACGGAAAGTGTGTGTCCCCGTTTTTTTTCCTCCCGATTTTCCGTCCTCTCTTGAACGCATTTCGACAAATCTCCTGACCTTTACCGTTGTTTTCGTGTTTATTTTGGATTTTTCCGAGATTTTCCTTGTTTTTATAAAAGTTTCTGTTTTATATTGTAGGATCCTATAGGAAAAAAAATTAGTGAGCTTGAGAATTCTGCAATTTTTCGAAATTTTTATGTTTATTTTTTTGATATTTTTTTGGAAAGATGACTTGAGAAAAATATTTGAACTTTTTTTCAATTTTTAAAGGCGCAGGGAACACCTTGTTAAAAGGTCCCGGCACGATATGTGTTATTTAGACGATATAATCACATTAAAATGCTTACTGAGCTCATAAAGCTGTTGTGAATGAACTTTGAAGACTAATTATTTTAAAGGCGCATAGATAGAGCTTAAAAAAAAATCCAGCCGCGATCTAATATTCCGCTGAACACATTTCTCGGGCCTTCAAATTTTTTTCCCGTCTGTAAAAAATCTAAAAGTCTTGAGCGTGAAAGGTTCTCGCCTAAGTCGTGGCGGGACATTTTTCAGGCTCCCCCTATGCGCCTTTAAAAAAAAGGCGCAAAGTACTTTTAAAGAAACTTTATGAGATAGTAAGCATGCTAGAGTAATAATATCGAATAGATCATTTAATTCGCGTCAGGACCTTTTGAGAGGATCGTCTCTGAGCCTTTAAAAAGCTTTTTTAAAAAGGCCGAATATTATTCTTCAGTCATCTTCCGTGGAATTTTCAAAAAAAGCGAAATCACCAGGTTTTACGTGAATGACAAAATTCGTGTCAGGACCTTTTGACAGGACCTTCCCTGAGCCTTTAAAATTTTTAAATCTCCAAATATTCTTCTCCAATCATCTTCAATCTCATTCAGAAAAATCATCAAAAAGCCAAAAACTTATGAAAAGTTGGAAGATTGTAAAATTCACTCCTTTTTTCCACGTGATTCTTCAATTATTTCTTGTAAATCACATAATTTTTGACCGGTAGACAGTTATAAAGACTCCCCCATGTCAATTCAACTTGAAGTAACTAAAAAATAGAAGTTTTTGTCTTCGTAAATCCCAAACCAAAACAGCTGTCGGTGACTGAACTATTACCTTTTTTTGCAAGGTTTACATGACGACCGTGTTTACCGTCGCGGATTAATAATGGCGTCGGAGAACTGTTGATGAAAAAGGTACAGTTAATCCGCACAATGCGTCTCTGTTGTACGCCTACTGCAACGTTCTTTTTTGCAATTTTCTGCCTTTTTTTGTTCGATTTCAGTGTTTTCCTGGGCGGTTTTTCATAAAGTCTAAACCTTCAATTGGCTTATTAAGAAATATTTTCTGAAATTATTAATGTTAAATTTAGATATTCCCGATATTTTTTTAGGCTTCTAGTGGTCTCTAGGGGTCACTGTAAAAGTCC